TCGCTCTGCAGGAGGCGGCGGTGCGGCGCGAGCCAGACGTTCGGTGGATATGTCAGATTTTAACGGAAATAAGTAAAGTTGCCGGGGTCTTCGGGTCCGCTTAAAATCCTCGATTTTCAAGCTCCAGCTTTGAAGTTTCTAGGTTTTAAACCAAAGGACAGCAAATTTGTAAGGGAGCTGAGAAAGCTTCCTGTGGAGCGCAGCTCTGCAGAAATCCCAGTTACTGTTTTAAATGTCCATCTATCCCTGTAGACACTGTCTCTCTGCATGTGTGGAGAAAGAAACAAAAAACTACAGTCCAACCCTGGGAGCTGTTAGGGGGATGTGAGAGACTGAGGTTCAGCTATTACAACACAGCTCCAAGCTGGTCCCACTCCACAATGCCAGGAGCTTGAGACTTCCTCACATCTAGCTCCAAGTGAGCTTGTTTGCGTTACCTAAAATACAACAGGAATTGGAAAGTCAAATCTCCTATAGTGATAAATCCATCACTGTTCTCAGAAATATCTCTTCATTTTTTATATATATAAATATATATGTGCTAGTATAGGAAGAGAGGTGTGCACACATTGAAACACAGGAATTTCCACCTGAACATAAGGAAAAATGTCCTCACTGTGAGGGTAACAGAGCACTGGCACACGTTGCCCAGAGGGGCTGTGGAGTCTCCTTCATTGGAGATCTTCAAAAGCTGTTTGGGCAGGGCCCTGGGCAACATGCCTGGGTGACCCTGCTTGTCAGAGGGTTTGGAGCAGATGATCTCCAGAGGTCTCATCAGCCTCAACCGTTCTGTGGTACATACTTGCCTAACCGAGTAAGGTTTCTGTTTCTGCGGCCAGAGAGGCTCAAGCAGAACCTTGACTCCTGGCATGAGTTCCTGTTGCAGGAGTTCGTGCAGCCATCACACAGACCGCTGCACACTGCATATTGAAGCAGTAGAGGTGGCCAGGGCTCTTCAGGTTGAAGAAATGCTGTTCTTCCCTCCCTGCCTTTCACCTTTTCACTCTTGCTCCCTAGACTATGTAAGGCTTGTGTACATTATAATTTTAGTTTGGATCAGGAGTGTGCTTTTAAAATAAAGCCCTCCTGCTCATACCCCCTTGCTGCTTTGGTTTGCATTGCGGAAGGGTCGTGGAGATCATGACCTTAGTTTCTTTTGGATGAAACTAAACTGTAAAAGAAGTTATAGGATCATATCTGATGTGCTCTAGCCATACAGGTGTGTCCCGTATATGGGACCAAACTAGAGTAAATCCACAGTGACATTCCCCCCAGAAGTATAGAATGGATCAAGCCATCTTGCTGTACAGATCAGTTCCTAATATACCACTCACTCATGCAGACTTGGATACAGAGTGAAGAGATGTGGGGGGCAGGATAGTGCCTGTGTTCCTATGAAACTGTGAGCACAGCTACACTTCAGAGGCTTTTACAATTTTCCTATTAAAAGACAACTGCTGGGGTGGGGGTTGAAAAGAAAACACTAGAGTTGTTCTATATATTTATTACAAATCATAATTCCCCTAATGGAATATGCACTCAGTCAAATAGGCAGGCAGCAAAACAAATCAACCTTCCTAATGCAAGCTACAATGAAAAATACATAATCTATCTTATGATACCCGTATCTTGTATAAACATCAGCTGTTAAATTAAATTAAAATCAGCCTCTCAGTGTGTGGTTAAGTGAAAGATTGGCTAATCAAATGTTACTGTTTGGCTAAACTTTCAGCCTAGACTGAAAGTCTCACCCTTTGTTCTCACTGTCTGTTGCTTTCTACTGGTCAGGCACACTTTTCAGAGGCTGTTTTAGTCTCCCCAGAGTTGTGTTCATTTAAAAGTATATCACATCCACATTACATATTTACTGTCTGTGCCTGTCTGTCTGTTGCCATTGTGTGTTGGTGCCATCCTGGCAGGACTCATCAATTAAGCCCTCCACTGAAGCCAGAGGAATCCTTTGTCTTTATGTTAAAGAGGCCTTTCCTCTACTACAACACAAAAAGGCTTATTAGTGACAGTCTGTTTCTTTCTGCTTGTTAAATTGATTGATTGCTACCAGATGGGCTTAAGAGATGTTTGGATTGAAGCAGCAGGTTTTCTTTCCTTTGGACATATTACATTAACATGTTGCCCTAAAACTCACACACATCCTTCAAATTCTGTCAGAGCTAATTCCGTTCAAGTTTCATACCCTCCCTTTGCATCTTGGAGATTTGGAGATGACTGAAACCCTGCTGGTTCCATCAGTGCTGATATCTACCGCCTTTTTTTTTTTTTTTTCTCCAATCTCTCTTAAGCCCAGTTGTCTACTCCGTTCACCGACATGGGGTAATTACAAATGGCCTCACTCTATCCTTGAGTATGAACTAACAAGGGCCTAGCTGTCTCCCACTCTGCAACTGCAGTAATTATTTGCAGCTGTGAATAGTGCAAAATGTTGCAAAATCAGAATAACTCTCCCCAGATACTCACTTCTCTGAATTGCTACGTAGTGGATAGAATATGAGGAACTTAGCACAACTGTTACAAGAAAATACTATTTTCCCATGACATTTTTTTCCCTTCTGAATGCTGATCTTAGGAATTCCTGGATTAAGCTAGAGATAGAAAGGTATTTGCCCACCTCATTTGTCTATTAAATAATCCTCCTGGCTGTACTGCTCTACTACCTATGGCAGAGTAGAGCCACCTAAGCAGAAACATACGTATGACTCACAGGATACTTTTTGTAACTCTCTCACAAGTGCCTGTGTTACACGATCAACAGAGATGAAACCTTGATCTCGTGCTAGGGAAGCCTGCTGTGATAGAGGATGACAAATGCGTGGTAAATCACACGACCTTTAGTGGCAACGCAGAGAAAGGTTGAGGCAGAAGGATGTGGAGCACATCCCAGACAGTGGCAAAGCACACACCCAAACAGAACTAGGAATACCTATTCATAGGAATGTGCGAGTTTATTTTTGAAAATTAAAAAAAAAAAAAAAAAAAAAAAAGGTGAATTCTGTAAAAGAAATAGAGACACGCAACACTATGCAAAAATAGTTCATAGCTCCACAGGAACCACAGAAGCATAGCTTAGCAGCAAGTGGGAGGCAGTGAGTGGAAATAAATAGATAGCAAATCAGCCTGCCACTGGAGATTTTAAAAGATTATCTGAGCTTCAGAGTTTTGGGTTTCTCTCTACATTTTGGAAGTTTTGTTAATTTTATTTATTAATAAAATATGCCCTGCTGCAGTTACACGACACATAAGAATAAAGCTGCAGACTCCTGGTCACAGAGAACACTCAGGACACAACAGAAGGACAGACAGGTCAGCAGATTCCATTGAACCAAACAGAAAACGCTACGTAGGCCGAACAAAAATCTCAGCTCTTTGCTCTCAGTGTGTTACAGAAATGGCTCCTCATGGCAACTTCCCCTTTCCTCTTTCAACCCTAATTGCTGCCTTCTCAGTGGACACATTTTCTGCCTCATCTTGGAATAAGTTCAGCGCAGTGCTTTCTAACCAAATAGTGCGGAATGGAGAGGGAAGGAAGGGAAGGAAAAGCTCCTGCCGAACTGCATTCCAATTTAGTCCTAGTGCCTTGTCATTTTTCACCAGCCACCAGGCATTTGGAAACCCACTGTGTCTATGCAGCAGCTTGCTCAAACACAAGATGAAAAGCTGCAGTCTAGCAGTGCTCATCATGTTAATGTACAAACTGTACTCCAGATTTCATTGGCTCTGTGGTTTACAATTAATGCTCTGTTTCAAAGCATGCTACCTGAGCGTGGAAATAAGTGGTGATCAGCTCCTGCCCAAGTGCTCTTCTTTTCTCAGGTGTACAGAGCCAAGAGAAAAACCTACAAATCAGGGGAGATATCCTCCATTTTTCCACCCAGGAGGGGCATCACCAGGCGGGTTCCAAATGGGCACCAGAGAGGACCAGAGACTCAGAATATGACACCTAGTACCCAGATAGTGTAGATGGCCCTGTAACTACCCAAAGCCTGGCTAGGCCTGGGCCCTACGACCCATTCTGAATCCCTGTCCTTTTGCCATCTCCCAAAGAGGCCCTTCTCCCAAAGGCAGCAACCACTGCATACACTTGCCCTAGGAACAGCAAAGCAGACATAACTTAAAATACAAAGCAATCTTTTAGGGATCTTCCCTGACTCCTAATGCCACTAAGCTGATAAAATGTGCTTCTTTTGCCAGCTGGCACTGTATGGAAAGCTCATTACACTACTCCTGTATTCCAACCAAAGGACTCTGGAGCCTGTTTCAGAAGAGGGATCTGCCCATGTTTCGGGGATGGTACAACCCACCACAACCCACCTTTGCTGTTTGATCTCTCACAAGACCCTTCGGAGGCCAATCCTCTACCAGCTGACGGCGAGCCCCTGTTTGGCACCGTAATAAGGAGAATGGGGAAAGCCGCCGAAGAGCATCGTAAGACGCTGACTGCCGTCCCACAGCAGCTGTCTCCCCACAACAACGTGTGGAAGCCATGGCTGCAGCCCTGCTGTGGCACCTTCCCATCCTGCTGGTGTGACGAAGAAAGCGGCGGCGCGGAGGATATACTTTAACATCGAAATCAAGGAAGGGCTAGCTCAGAAATAAATAGTTTTCACATTCAAATGACTCCAATCTAAATACAGAAACGTGTTTGAAATTACACTGGAATAAATGAAAGGGACATTTCTGATGCCTTTTGCTCAGCCTTTTCAATAAGCCTGTAGTTAAAAAGACAAATACCTCTCCAGTGCATTCTGCCTGAGGGTCATCTGTATAGTCTGTCCCTCAAGTGCATCATTCTGCACTAAGAGCCGGGACAGTGAACAAGAATTCCTCTCCTTGCTGAGTTTGAATTCCAGTAAATCATTGGATAGCAGATCAGACCTCAAGGTCAGTTTATATAGGCGATATGTTTTAAAGGCAACAAGTCTGAGCCTAGAAGGCGATGACACTTCAGATTGTTTCTTTTTACTATAAAAACTGTCATGTATAATGACATTTTTCCATTTGTCCATTTAATTTGGAAACGTATCAAAATACAGCCTCCAAGACATAAATATTGACTAGACGTGGACACCTAGTAATTTACAACAATCTTTTACCTCATCTATCCACTTCCATATGTGCCTCCTCTACATTTAGTTTCAGAGTAAGGATTCCCAGGAAAATTGAACTGACAAATATGTTTAAAAATTGGGTTACTAAAATTAAAATCTGAAGGTCAGTACCTGAGTGTGTAGCTATTCCAAAAGTGTTAAACCACAGAAATTACTACTGACATACATTTTCCATATTGACTTGAGTCCTCTCACTTGCAGGAGGGCAGAAAATCTAGGCAGATACGACCAGCCGCCTTGGTAAGATTGCTCCTGAGTCTCACAATAAGTGAGATCATTTCAAGAAACTGCAAGTCCCACTTCAGTGATAACATGCCTGCTACACACACAGAAAAAAAGGGTACATTGTTTTGGAAAACAGCAGTTTGGTTTCACGTGTTAAAAAGAAAATCACTGCACACACTAATCCTTTTATTGTTTTGGTCATACTCTACAACCCACACAAGTGTCAGCAATCTGTGCAGT